ATCCAACTTCTGTGTGTGTGTGTGTGTGTGTGTGTGTTTGAGAGAGGGGGGAGGGAGAACGGGAGGAAGGAGGGGAAGGGAGAAGAAAAATAAAAAGAAAGAAGGAAACTTATTTAGCAAAGGAGAAAAACAAATGCTGTCACTTTAAATTGGAACTGAGCATGCCTGGCTGTGGAATTCTGGGAGTTGAAGTCCACAAGTCTAAAAAAATTGCTGCCTTACCAGCCATAAACCTCACCACACGTCATTGGTATATATTGAGTTGTCCATCTTAAATATTTGTTCAATACATAAAAGTTCATCAACTTCCATGTCATTTGGATGCTTTTTTATTAAAATGGTCCAATTAATTAAATTAAAAAACATAGTGATTGCTGAACAATTGATATATAAATTTGATATTTTATAAATACATTTATGCTATGACTTTATCAAGTTCCATATTAGATAAGTAAACCTTTATTGGAGCATTTAACCAATCTGTGCAACACACAGACACACCCACAGACACCCACAGACACACACACACTCCATAAATCTATTTGAAGTTAGAAAACAAAACAAATGAAGGGAAAGTATGAAGACCAAAGGAAAGTAATGCTAACAATGTCCTCCTTGAATAATTGATAGTCTACTTTTTAAAAAAATGAAAAACTTAATAGGAACTGTGGAGAAACAAATACTTGTGTAACGATTAGATAAAAATATATTTACTGCCTCAAAAGCAGATAGATTAATAAGCCTAAACTAGGGTCCTTTGCTGTAGGCTAACAGACCAAAGGACTACAATATGTTTAGTAACTATGTAGTCTAACAATACTTGAATTCCTTAGTAAACAGGAATTGAGCCTCAGGATTGTGGCTTTTGAAATTAGGGTGTGTTTAGACTTGGAGGCTGCCCAAACTTCTTTCACATCTCGAAGGAAAAGCACCATGCCAAACATATGTAATCAGCAAAAAAAAAAAAGTGATTACATTTTGAAGAAAGATCATAAAACAAATGCTCCCATATGTTGCAGAGATCAAATAGAATATCTGAGAATTTGTACTGCAATGTTTTAACTATATAGTAAAAAGAATGTTCTGATCTGACAATTAATGCAGTGTGTTAAAAATAACAGAAAAGGTCATGTAAGTTAATAAAGAATTTTAGAATAAGGAACAACTTATTCTAAAATGTGTATATAGGTATGGGAGAGCAAATTAAGTTTTGCTTAAAATCTAATCAATTCAAATAAGTAATTTATCATCTCCCGAATCATAAATTGCCGGCCAAAGACAAAGGAGATCAGGAACCATTTAGTTCTCACCATCCTAACATTCTTAATGGGGAAATTAATGAAAGGATTATCTAAACCAGTATATTTATAGCATATATGGCACATCAGAGTTGTTTCTGGGTTTATTTTTGCAGTAGATGAGTTTATTGGGTAGGTATTTGGGCCACAGAGTTGCTTTAAATAGAAACACAGGATAAAATATTTAGCAGAAATTAAATGACTTGTATATAATCCAAAATTGTCATCATTATATATAGCTCATCTGGACAAGAGGAAATACTCTGAAAATAAAAATAGATGCTACCCAGGACTGCATTAGCTTTTTAGCAGCTGCTGAACACTTTTGGCTTGTACTTACAATAAGTGGTGGTCTGCTGGGATACTAACTTCCTTAATTTCTACTGTTGAGCCAGGTACTATTGTATTTGATTTTTCTTATCTATATGTAGGCACTTGCTTTTCTTATCACTGAATTGTATTTTGTTGAATAGGGCTCACTGTTCAAACTTATCAAGATCCTTCTGAATCTTGAGTCTATCTTCTAAATGAGTCTATCTTCTAAACCCCTAGCTTGGTGTCATCTGCAAATTTCTAGCCTGTCTCATCTATATCGTTTATTAAGATGTTGAACCGCATCTTCATAAATTATATAGGGTGCAGAGCCTTGAGCTGCCCCACTACATGTTTTACTCTGTGTAGTAGTTCCATTGAGGACTACATGCTAAGCGCTATTGGTCAGCCAATTGTGAATCCATCTGGTGGTGCATTGCTTATCAAGAAGTAGGCCATGGTCTGTTTTGTTAAATACCTTGCTGAAGTCCAAGTATACTATGTCCACAGCATTTCCCACATCCACTAATTAAAAAATTAATTAGAATAGGATAGCATAGAATGAGCTGGAAGGGACCTTGGAGAACCTACACCATTTCAGATAAGTGACTGTCTAGATCAGGGCTGTCAAAATTGATTTTATTGAGGGCCACATCAGGGTTGTGTTTGACCTTGGGGGCCAGGATTGGCATGCCCAGGGTGAGCGTGGCCAGTTCAATGACACTCCTATTGGGGCCGCCTGTGGTGGCCTGAGCTCTCTGCTAGTGAAAATACCTCCTGAGCTCCATTTTCAGCTGCCACAGCATCCTGCGACACTCTGCCAGTGAAAACAGACCCTCTCAAGCTCTGTTTTCACTGGCAGACGGTTGCAGGTGGCCATGGCAGTAGAAAACGAAGCCCGGGAACCCATTTTTGCTGGCGGAAGCACTGCTAGCCAGTCCTTCACTGTTTCCATGGTGGTCCTGTGGGCCAGATTTAAGTACCCCATGGGCCTGATCAGGCCCCCAAGCCTTGAGTTTGACACCCCTGGTCTAGAATCTTCTTAAAAACATCCAGTGGTGGAGCACCTACAATTTTTCTAGGATTAGAAAAAGAGTCTGACCTCCTTAAAAAAAACTTGTTACAGTGAATTTTTAAATAGTAGAAGAAATTAAAATGTAATTTAGCTATTCTGTAATGAAATCAGCAATTGGTATTAAAAACCCACTAACAAATAAACATAAATCAAAATTTGCTTTGTATGAATGTTTGTATAAATATATTTCATCATGATGTTTTTTAAATATTTGATATAAAATGTAATAATGGGGCATCATATGGATTGTAGAAAGACATATAATGGTCCATAAAATGATGTGAATCTCTTAGAGAAAACTTGAAAGAAGATCGGTGCTGGATCTATACAATGTAATCCTGTATACTCTTTTGACATACTCTGAGAATGGGAAAGACTGCACTAGATATTAATCTGGTACATAGCTCAACACATTTAATAAATAAATATAAAGTCAGGGAAGAAAAACACAATTTCTTCTATCTTTCTTCCTTTTGGCACAAGCCTAACAAATCTTGCCTTCTGGTAATTAATCCATCATGGTTTCTCCATCTCTGTATGACTGCTCTGTTAGTAAATCTAACCCTAATTTATAATACTGAATCCAGGCCTGTCTAATTTCACAATTGGTAACATTCCTTCAATTTTTGCATGGCATTTACATTTAATTGTCACTGAGATATTGTTCTACCATACCAATACAATCAGTCATAATTGTGATTCTGCCATTTTGGGTAAACATTGTAAACTATAATTAGTGCATGTACATTTTTGCTTTGTTACTCACATTCTCATAAAGGGCTTGAAGAGTCTCTAAGTCCACCACAGAGTTGTCCAAGTTCATGACAGCTATGAAAAAGGCAGACAAATATTTAAAAAGGACTAAATTTAAAGAAAAGACTAAGCACAATATAGATACTTTTTAAAAAAAGAAATGATCTACTGGCCATACAGCTTAATGTATCACACTTTAATAATGCCATAAGAAAATGTAACATCTAACAGTAGGCAAGAAAACTAGTGGAACCTGGCATCCCATTTTAATACAGTCAAATCATCTTTCCCCCACAATCATGCCTGGAGTGAGCTTATTGTTACCCATGTTACAGAAAAAGTCAAATAGTAACAATAAGCTTTACACCAGAGTTTGATGGTCTGACTTTAAAAAGCACTCATTATAGTCAAACAGCAAAGGAGATCTATCTCTAGCTGAGCTTCAGCCTTTAACGGTTTAATCTATGGATCAACCTTACCGGATACTCAACTTATATGTAACAGATATAAGTTTGCTTGAAACATAGGTATGTAGTATTAGTCATTACACAAACAGTTCCATAAGTATGACTTCAAAAGAGAAGTTTCATTTAGAATTAAACAGGAAGGACAAGTAATATATTTAATAATAGCAAAGATATAAGGATTTAGGCTGGTAAGATAGAATTCATTAAGAATGATTTCAAAAGTTTATCTTAGTTCTACTTAAAAAGAAATCAAGAAAGCAAAATTAGTTTTTTATATTTAAAAATCTCTAGCAAAGAAAGGCGATCAAATTTCTATGACTTCTGACAGACGGGAAACATTCAGACAGAGAAGCACTTATACCAGTCTTTTAACAATGCAGCTGGTTACAGATTATCTAGTGGGGCAACTGCAAAAATATTGGTTTATCTTTATTAAGGAAAACCATTCTTTAAGATATTGAAATGGGCCTCTGTTAAATTCACATATTATGTTTCTTTATAATTTACCAAGTCTGGAACTGTATTTCAATAGAATTATCCACATGGCAGGCTTTCTACATATTCTATATAATTTCTGGTTAAGTCATTAATAAAGTTCTTTATTTATTTGAAATAGGTTTCTCTCACCTTATCTTATTATCTTATCAGAATGTCAGGTCTGGGGTAGAACGTACACATGCAAAATAACTAATAAAGCAAATTTTTCGTCATCATTTAAACCATTGTCTATCCATTTCAGAATGAAAGCCTCTTCTGCATATTTCCAACCAATATGGTCCTGAACTTAAGTTTAAAGAGCTTAATTAAAGCTGACGCAATCTAGAAATTCTCAAGTGAACAAAACAGCCGGAACAGGGACAAGGCACAGTAGAACCTCTGGTCACAACCATAATTCATTCCATAACTTTGGTCGCAAACCAATTTGGTTGTGACTCGAACCTAATTTTGGAAATTTGGCGCTTACCCAAAAAAATTGGTGTGGAAGGGGAAATTGGCTGTGAAAAAAAATGTGATTTTTTTGGGTCGGAACCCGATTTGGTCATGGTCAGAAGCGTTCATGACCAGAGATTCTACTGTAATGGGTTATATTCTTTTTTTTAAAAAGTTTATTAGTTTATAAAATAGCATACAAAGAAAATGCAAAAGTAAATGGTGGGGAAAATAGGGAAGGTAAAAGGAAAAGGGAAAGTGAGGGAAAGAAAAGGAGGGAAAGAAAAAAAAAGCATTGACCTCCAATTTCTTTTGGTCAAACCTCAGCTTTTTACTTTTACATAATCATATTAACTAGCCATTTCTATAATAACAAATCTCTTTAATCAGTAAAACCCAAAATCAAAGTTTCATTTTTTCCACCTCAAGCACAAAGTCCAGAAGTTTCCAAGTAGAAATAAAAGTATTTGTATGTTTTCCATTGATCAAAACAGTTAATTTAGCCATCTCTGCTAACTTCATCAGTTTTTGCAGACATTCATCCATTGTGGAGATCGAGGTGACCTTCCATTTCTGTGCATAAAGTTGTCTTGCTGCCATCAACATATATAACATCAAAGTTCTGGATTTTTTCCCCCAGGTCTGTTTCCATTAAACTCAAAAGAGAAGTCACTGATTTTCTTTTTATATACACTGTAAGAATTTTCTATATTAAAATATGAATCCTACTGCAATATTTCTTTGCTTTATCACACATCCACCATAAACGATAAAAAGTCCCTTCTTTACATTTACATTTCCAACATTCATTTGAAATGCACGTGGGCTATATTCTTGAATTTTAATTTACTCTAAGTATTCTGTCTTTATGAGCCATGGTGACACAGTGATTACAGTGCAGTACTGCAGTACTACTTCTGCTAACTGCCGGCTGCCTGCAATTTGGCAGTTCAAATCTCACCAGGCTCAAGGTTCACTCAGCCTTTGAACCTTTCGAGGTAGGTAAAATGAGGACCCAGATTGTTATGGGCAATATACTGACTCCGTAAACCGCTTAGATAGGGTTGTAAAGCACTGTAAAGTGGTATATGTTTTATTGCTATTGCTTATAGGAGAAATATCAGATCAAATCAAATCTGTATTATTGTCATAGGCCAGTGGTTCTTATCCTTGTCTTCACCATTTACACACTTTTTATGGTCCTGGACCATGGCTATGGTTAAATCTTAGCTCAAGATTTAAATCATAACATTTCTTCAAGCCTTTGCAGACCCCCTGTGATGGCATCACATCCTCTTAGCAGTCTGTGGAGCACAGGTTGAGAACTGCTATCATAGACCATCATGAGAAGGGTATGAATTTTTTGACTCTGAAAACCATCCATACATAACACTGATGTCTTTTCTGACTTCAGTTAATTGCCATACACCCAGCCCAAAAAAGGGAGAAAATCAGTCATCTGATTACAATGCAATTGCTTTCATGTTTCTTCTTTCTTCTATTTAGCATTTTCTTCTGCTTTCTATTTAATCTATATACCTATAAGGCAAATCTTGACCTGGAGCAAAACTTAGCTAGAATTTCCTTTGACAATTCCTGACAAAAACTTAACAACAGATTACATTGCCCTCTATAAATCAGTACCTTTCACTGTTGCTAAATGATTTTGTGTATACACCTCAAGATTAGAGACAATATAATTCATGCTCATTTGTTTTTCATTGCTGTAAAGCATTTAGTGATAAAAAACCAGTGTCTGGGACTCATCACATTTTCTCCCTACAGGTCTGAAATATAACTTTAGTTACAGTATAATAAAAGAATATATAAATAAGGAAATGTTGATCTTGATTGCATGAAGCAGAGTCCAGAGTGTTCTTAGAGATTGGAGGGAAGAATTTAAAAAGATAAAAATAACATTCCTTCTTTTCAGTATATAATCTTTTTTCCAGAGTCTTCTAAAAAATAATTTTATTTTTTCCAAATGTTTTATCATGTTTTACTTCTTTCTTTTTCTCATTTACCTATTTTCACAAAACATTTTTGTTTACCAATGAATTATGTTTTTATACATCTGTATGAAATATTTTAAAAGTTAGTTCCCCATGACATACATGTTAACTGTTTTTCTTCTTAAAAATAGTAAGTTAACTTTTCTTTTTTAAAAAAAGCTTTCCAAAATCAAACATCTAGTCCTTAAACTAAATAAGCTGCATTAAAATTTCAACAAATCAGATTGCCTCATTTGAATAGCGACATAGATCAATATCATAATGTACCACAATAGAATTTCAAGTAAGTTATTTTGCATGTAAATCAGTGGTTCCCAAACTTTTTCAGTCCACTATCCCCTTGGTGCTACAAACTGATCCTCAGTGCCCCCGACCCAGTGGTGGAATTCAATTTTTTTTACTACTGGTTCTGTGGATGTGGCTTGGTGAATGTGGCTTGGTGGGCATGGCTGGGAGGGTCATGTGACTGGGCGGTTTGCATGACAGAAGGA